CGATGGATGCCTGGCTGATCGCGAGACCGACGCCTGGGCTGAGCAGACACCGCTGCATTGCCCTGGTGGCAACGTTTGCTGTATTTTTTCGCCCAGTCCTTGCTTTTACCCTACGCTCCACACTTTTTTTTCCTGGAAAAATAGGGATTGTGCTGTCAGGCAGCCTGGGGCTCACGGTGTAATACCATGCCCTGAAAGCATATGCTGGGAGCAAGAGACAGAGGATGGAGGGGAAGGGAGAGCTTTACAACCAGACCACTGGTAGGACCCTCTTTGGTCCCCGCAGTTTCCGAAAGCCGCTCTCCGCACGCCCTCAGGCTACGCCGTCACGGGTGCCCGTGACGTTCCTCATGTCACAAATCCTCTGCTCTTCCCAAGCAGCGTTTTGAAGTCGTAGCCCCCGAAGCCAGATGAGCGCACGGCCCGTCTCAGCGTCCCCTCTCCATGCCGCAGAAATCAAATAGAAGACTTCATACGGAGCTCAAAACCAGTAGTGAATGAAAGGCACCGCCTCAATGTAGCCCTGGAAAAGCACTATTTTTAAGTTCTTTTTTTTTTTCAGTTTTGGGGAATCTGACCTGGATTATGGCAGTGGCAGTTCCTGGTCATTTTTTTCTGCTTGTTTTACTCTTGAAAGAGAATTAAACCATTCCTGAGCACTAGCAGCATCCTGTGCTCTCTGAACCAACCCGGGCCGCCCTTAGGACCAAGGGGGATCATCTGCCGTCGGTCCTTCTGAGCGCGGCTGCTCTGCGAGGTTGGTAAAACATAGCCGAAAGCCCCGAAAGCGCCAACAAAACCGGTCCTCGCCTGTACCTCCACCTGCCCGACGGAACTGAGAAGCACCACGCAGAAAGCGTTGGTTGCGTCCAGCACCGTCGCCGAGCGGCAGCGGGGAGAGCGGCACCCAGAAGAGGCCATCCAGGCTGCATTGACCCTGCTAGCTGAGAGGCTGGTTTTTGCTTTCGTAAAGCTGTAAATCATCCTCACAAGCGTGGAGCTGATACAACTGCCTTCCCCTTAACAAACAAATCGGCCCGTAGGGACGGAAATACGGAAATACGCCTCGCGCCGGAGCGGGGCTGGTGCGGTCACAGCGTCTTTCTATGGGTCGGGTTTAGGGCTGGGGACTGGGCTCCTGGGAATCAAGCAAAACACACTGCAGGATTTTGCGAACACGGAGGGATAGGGATGGATGCCCAGCGGGTCCTTCGGCACCTTATTACGAGCCTCAGTGAGCATTCCCCACCCGGCCGGGCGGATGCACCAGCTCCTGCTTTAAAGAACGACGTGTATGAAGAGTAAGTTCAGTTGTCTCGACCGCACGGAGCCCGGGGGAGCGGCTGCAGGGAGCGTGAGGGAAAAACCAAACTGCCTCCAGAAAAGCAGGCGTACGGATCTGGGGATAAGAGGGATAAAAAGAAAGCTTCCGGTGAAAAAAAAAAAAAAAAAAAAATTTTAAAGAGTTTAATAGCAGCTTAGGACTGGGGGTTTTGGCAGCCCTAACGTGGAGAGAAATTAAGCTCCGAAGACAGGAGGTTATAAAGTGCTTATAGTAGCAGCCGTGTACATGCAAGGAGCTTAGGAAAGGAGGCAGAAAGACAGTGTCTTTCCGGAGCTGGGGCAAAGGGACCAGAGCCGTGACCTGTCCCTGGGCGAGA